ACTAAGGAATTTATGTGTTCTTTTGAGAGTGTAGACGTTTTTATTAATTTTCCTATCTAAAGTGTTGAGTTGTCAATTAAGAAGGTTGAGCAATGTGAATCTTTTGCTTATATTATGATGGCCAAAGTATTTTATAACAAGAAGTCTTATATTTTCCAATCTTTGAGTATATGTTTTTATTTTTTTTCAATATTTATGCATTGACAGCTACTGAAACATCCTATTATAATGCTTCTTTATTCACTTTTTGTTTTTCCATAATTTTTCTTCCTCAATTTTTCTCACTTTGTCTTTTTTACTCTAAAGCTTCAAACGTTTTTTTTCTTCAGAGGAGGGGCTAAAGGGGATGGACAAGAGTCTGGCTCCAATGATGGAGTCAGAACGAACAAATATAATAGTGGAGAACGAATGACATGGATTCTGGAATGAGGATGAGTATAGTAAGTCCAAAGGGAACATTTTGCCCCAATATAATAAAGTTGAACAAATGCAATAATGGAATGAGGCTGAATATAAATAGTGGAATGAAGACAAGCACAATAAGTTTGAATGGAGCTAATACTTTAAAATGTTTTTCTTTCTCGAGGGAATAAAGAATATTAAGGACAAATGGAGTGATTTTGACCTCTTATATATGGTGTTGGATGATGATGATGGTTGTAAGTCTAAATTAATATAGGTATCAAATTTTAACCAAAAAGAAGATGCAAAGGTAGGTTTTATTTATGGTCATAAGTTTGAGTTAATAATGGTCTTAGAGGATTGTCGATAGAAAGACTTAAAGATGGGATATATTATTTATGGTAATGGTGTTTTATGGACTGTAGTGGCTTTCAAAGTCTTTTGTTTTGGTTCAAAATTATAACTTTAAGGTTGGTTAGAGCATTGGCAATTACGGATGGAGTTGCAATTAATATATCGAAATTCCTTAGGTAATTGATGTTGATTGTGGTTTTGGTTTTTCAAGGGAATAAAAAGGATATTGAGGATGAATGGAGTGATTTTAACCTCTTATATGTGGTGCTAGATGAGGATGATAGTTGTAAATTTGAGTTAATATAGGTTTAAAATTTTGATTGAAGGGAAGATGTAAGGGTAAGTTTTGTTTATGGTTGTGAGTCTGAATTAATAGTAATCTCAAAATATTATCAACAGGAAGACTTAAAGATAAAATATTATTTGTGGTAATGGTGCTTTATGGATTATAATAGCTCTTAAAGTTCTTTATTTCAATTCAAAATTATGACTTTAAGGGAGGTTAAAGGTTTGGTAGCTACACACGGAGTTACAATTAGTTTATCAAGATTCCTTAGCTAACTGATGCATGTATATATATATATATGTATGTGAGTTCTTTCGTGGGAATCCTGGGGATGATGTGTACTATTAGTTTGATCATTTCATGGTGATTGCCACATATTATTTTTGGGATGATGCTCGATGTTTGCGTGAGTTTCCCATGTGTCTCCAAAGGATGGTGCTGTAGTGGTACAATGGTTTGAGCGCAGCCACTCGTGGGGATTGAAGTGTTCTCTTAGACATCTTCAAATGCGCATTCGAACATACCAATTATTGTGATGATGTCTTTTAACAATTGCATCATCTTCGTTAAGGGCCATTTGAGTCAGTGATGCAATTTAGTGTTCATTTCCAAAGCCTCTTATTTCATGTGGAGCCAAATATGTCAGAACGGATCAAGCTAGGAATTTTGTGGCTAGCATTTCGTTAAAATCTTGTTGGACTTGTCCATGCACTTGCTCCAACCACCTTTGATGATGCTCTTTGCTTGGCACAACATTATGAAACGTCGTCTCTTTCACTTCTTGCTGCACGTCCTTCCTCTCCACTTCCTCTGGGCGATGGTCCTGCTCTAATGGAGGTTGATGCTATTGCTGCTCAAGTCCAAGGACAAGGCCGAGGACATGGTCATGGCTGTGACGTTCGTTGTTGGGTATATGATGAAGTTGGTCACACTTATCAATGTTGTCGGCGTTTTCCGGATTGGCAACCTTCATTTTCTGGGTGGAAACCTTGGTGTCAACAACATCATATTGGTGTTGCTGTAGTGGAAGGTTTGGACGCCGAGATGCATTTGGGAAAAGAAGAGTCACGCGAATAATGAAGGGACCTTACACGAATAAGTCAGTGACCCCTCTATTTTTCTTTCGAGAGTATCATCAAGGGGTTCACTTGGCACCAGTTCATCCAGTGTTTACTTTCCAAGCTCATTTTTATAACAAGAGGTCTCCTATTATTCTCTCTGTGTTGGTTGATACAGGTTCAAGTTTATCTTCTATTGCTCGACTTGTTGCCACACGTTGCTGTCTACACTTACATCATGTGGCGGAGCCAATTTTCATTCTTTATGGCAACGGCCGTACATAAGCATGTGCACGGGATGAGGCAAATCTGGTTGTGCGTATAGGCAATCTCGAGCTTGGGTTGTAGTCATTGTGGGTGGTGCTGAGTCAAGCTTTTGACTTCATCTTTGGTATGGATTGATTGTAGCACAATCATGCCAAATGTGACTTTGAGGTCTCTCCCCTTTGTTTCATATTTCCTTATATTTCCTTCATTCCTCTCACTTTCGTACTTCTTCGTCCCTCTTTTTTTATCTCTGCTTCCATTACTTTTGTCCTCCCACTATTTCCTCCTATGTTTCTGTCTTGTTTTGCTCTTCCCTTTTCCGATCCAATCTTTATGTTGCGGCGGTTAACCAGCTCATGAAGGAGTATTTTGACCTCTTTGAATTTGACCTATCGTCTGGGGCCAAAATTGCCACACATCATCTGATTCTAATTGGGGATGTTCGTCCAATCAAAGTTCCTATTTGTCATCAGTCACCCAAAGAAATCAAGATTTTACATGCAAACGTCAAAAAGATGTTGGAGAAGGGTGTTATTCGGAAGTTGCGAAGTCCTTAGGCATGTGAATTTCATCTTGTGACAAAATCTGATGGGAGTATTCATTTCTGCATTGACTATCGTCCATTAAACGAAGTGACAATCCCAAATGTGCACCCTCTTCCTTACACTGCTAATCTTTTGGATCGTCTGGGGCAAAGTTATTGGTTCACTAAGCTAGATCTTGCTTCTAGGTACTGGCAAGATATATGGTTTTGATGTTGTTCATTGCCCAAGGAGTTCTATGGATGATGCTAATGCCCTTTCTCGAACTCCTCTTCCTTCTCCACTTTCGTCTCATGTTTTTTACGAGTCTATTATTCCAGCATTTGTGGATTTTCTAGATGAGGATTTTGTGCTGTCAGCGGTTGCTGTACTTGACGTTTAGTGTCCACAAGGTGCAGAGCAAGATCTACCTTGTCTTGATGAGTTTCATAAAGCTCAAAAGATTGATTCGTGGATTTGAAGGATTCGAGATGGGTTTGAAAATCTTGCATCATTTGCTAATGACTTGCCTTTCCAGCATTTACATTCTCAATATCACTTTGAACACGGCCTTTTTTTAATTTTGTGGGGACAGATCCTGATGATCATTTATGACTGGTGGTGCCTTCTGTCTTTATTTCGCGGTTTCTCCATGCTTATCATGATTCTCTTGTTTTAGGTGGGCATATGGGACATTGTTGTGTAATCAAGAAGCTACGTAGGTCTTTTTATTGGCCGGAGATGTGACATGATATTATTCGGTATGTGTGTAGTTGTATTTGGTGTCAAGCTTGTAATACTCCCCCTCGTGCTACGAAAGGACAGTTGGAGTCAATTGTAGTTTCCCATCTGTTTGAGTTGGTGGCATTTGACCTTATAGGACCTTTTCCACAATCGACTGCTGACAATGAGTATGTTATCATTGCTTCTAACTACTTGACTCGCTGGGTGGAAGTTGGTGCTCTTGCTAGCATGCCTGCAACTGCTGTTTGATACTTCCTCCTTAATCAAGTGGTGTTTCAGCATTTTTGTCCAGAGCGGATTCTTTCGGATAATGGTCCCGCATTTATGGTTAAGGTATTTCATGTTGTGATGTCTTGGTTGGGGATACGCCACACTTTCACAAATGCTTATCATCCACAATCATATAGACTAGTGGAACGGTTCATTCAGACGTTCAAAGAGATGATTGCGAAGTATGTGAACTTTCAGCATTCGAATTATGATAGTTATTTGCCGTTTCTTCAATATGCATATGTCACAGGGGTGCAAAGTTTTGTTAGTTATAAACTCCTATATGGTTATAATCCAATATTACCAACGAAGTTGGGTTTACCTTTGCGATTGTCACGAGCTGCCGATGCTATGTCGTGGGATCAATATTTGATAAACATTTTTCCACTTGTCTAAATAAAGTTTGCTGAACACTTAAGTTACGTACAAGTGTGATAACAACAGCGCTACAATTCTCATCATCATCCACCTGTGGAGTACAATGTGTTTGGAATGACGATGATGATATTACCCCTAATACATTAATTATAATATTATAGCATATAGATTAGAATTGAATTTGGTCTATCTATTTTTATATATAAATAAAAGTTTAAACCTTAACTAATATACTTATTCCCATATCACATTATGGTTTTGTATTTTTATTTTTATATAATTAAAATGTTTCATGCTATAAGGGTGAAAGATTATACAAAATCAATTTTTAATATAATAAGTGGTAAATAAACATTTTAATTTAAACATGATTGATATTTTTTGGAGGTCTATGAGTTACTCTAATTCCTGAATGGAATGCAGCGGTTCTTCTGGAGAGCAGCTCTGATTTTATTAAGCACAATGTCATGGAGTCCACCTCGCCTAGCTGACTGGAGACCCTCAATCATCCATGATGATGGTGATCATCATCGTCCACGTCGATTCTTAGTGTTTGCTGGAGCAAGGCGGAAAAAAACCTCTTTGGCTTGTCGAGTTCATTCACGGCATGTTTCCCGAGGCATCAATCGGAATATCTCACCGTGCTGAGCATAAAGCTGCTTGATCTGATCGAAAACTAGGCGAGCTTCCCGGAAGTGGTGCTCTAGTCCCTGTCTAACGTCCACAAGAGGTGAGAGGTGCGAGCTCTCTAAGGTTTAATTCATGGACAAAAATCCGTCAAAGTTCTTCGTTGTCTTTGTAAGAAACGAGCACGAAGGAAGAGTTTCTCTCATCCTAGGAAATTCATGATTACCAGGTGAAGGACCAGATTGCACAGGACGAAATCAGCGAAGGCCCTCTCCGGTGGAAGATCCTGAGAAGAAAAGAAAGAACTATCCTTGTAGCCTAGTTGAATTCACTGCTTGCTTACCTTGAATTCTTTGTTGGCTTTGTTTACTTGCATCCTTAAGCAAACTGGAAAAACAAAAACAAAAACAAAAAAACAAAAATGGAAGTTTTGTCGTCGAAAAACACACAACCAAGAAAAAAAGCATGGAAAATAGAACTCTCGATCGATCTATAGACATACCAGCCAGAACAGCCGTTCCTACGCAGGACAAAACCCCCGAGAGAAATGCATTGAAAGGAAAAGATCCAACCACAGCCATGAACAAGGTCTGGAGCAGCAAACAAAGAATCAGCCGTCAATCGCGAGAGAATTCCAACAAACCTGGACAATCGCTGTGATCACGGCATAGGCGACATAGAGATCGATCAGCTAAGAAACCAGGAGTTAGATCAGATCGCGGAATGGCAATCTCAAAATCTCTACCTTGAGCTTCGTCGGAGTGGCGGTGTACGCGGATCTGAGCGACGTAACAAGCGCCCGCGCGTCGTCCATAGCTAGGGTTCTTGGTAGCCCTAAAGCAAAGATTTGGGTTTTTGACGAGAAAGAAAGGATGGCCGGGCAGCAAATTCTCAAGCGCATTCCAAAGATCAAGTTCCCGGATCGTCGCGCGGCATCCGGTAGAGATTTCTCGCAGCATTTTTTTATTCGATCATGGATTTACAGGCGGGAAAGCGCCATCAATTCCGACTCCTACGGGCGCTTCTAGCGGCGCTGGGAGTGCCTCGATTCAACCAAAGCGGGTGCCATTGTCCAAGGAAGAGATGGAAGTGATCACAGTGAGTGGATCTTCTTTTCTCCCATTTTCTCGTTAATTTTCGTTTGTTTGGAATCGCATAGATGGGAGGTCGCTAGGCGAAATTTGTTGGACGCTTGGTTTGATACTAAATTGCTTCGTTCTCGAGCTTGGGAATTACAAGCATTTTGTTTCTGTGAGCACTGAGTATGAGTTTTGTGAGACTGTTTAACAGGCGCGTTTCGGGAGTCCCCTCGATGTACACACGTCCAGGCCCAGCGTGTTTTGCCTTGAGCTTCAAATTCGCCACGCCCTTCTTCTTCACTCCCGCGAGAGCTTGCTGGAAGTTTGGTTGGCCGCGAACACCGAGAGCAGCGATCTGGACCTCGTAGTGATACTTGACAGCAGCTACGTTCACCTGGAAGAAGAATCACACAACGTAAGATTTTCTTCCAGCGACTGCAAACTTACCAGCTGAGTTTTGTTTGCTGGACTTCCAGATGATGCTGCCACATCCGAGAGCTGCTCGAGGGCGTTGATGTTAGACATCACTGTCGCGTGAAGTGCCTCCGTTTCCTCTGTTCCTTCGAAAATGTCCTGGCTGACGACCAGGCACCACTCTAAGATCCCTGCTACCAGTTCTGCTGCCTCAGCTCCTCCTGGCTTCTGAAAAAAGGTGGAGTTTCCACACCTGGCACAGGAGGCGACGAGAGCCTGCCAAAGTGACGTCGAATTCAAGCTTGAAGATGGGAGCTGCCAGGCTTGGGCCTTCACAGTCTTGAGAGCGAGTGGAACCAACACGGCAGCTCGGTACGTGAGTTCTGGATCAATGGAAGCGTCTGCCAACATATTGGCTGCTTTCTCCACCAAGTCACAAGATAGGCTCTTGAAGATAAGCTGGCCAGGAGGACCTTTTCTCAGCGACAAGTCTGCATCACAGTGCCAGAGGTAGTGAGACGCTACAGGGGTCTCGAAAATGCACCGGAGTATCGTCAGCGCCAGCTTCGCCCGTAGAGTTTTCTCTGGACTGGACATGGTTGCAACCAGGAACTCGTCTCTGCAGAGGCCGATGAAAGTCTTGAAGACGCCAGCCCAGAGCGTACACAAAGACTGACCCCCGACAATAGCTGCCTGGTCATCCGTCACTGCTGGCCAGATCTGCGACGAACGATGTTGTCATCTTCAAAGACGAACGGAAAGATTTACCTGGTTGGACTTGAAAGCTGGACTATGGTACACAAGAACATAGAGCAGCAAAAGACCACAGCTCCTGGAATCGCAGTCCTTTTCCCTGGCAGCACCATTGGGATGGTAGTCCGAGCCCGTGAAACCAAGCAAGCCGCTCATGTATCCAACCATGCTGTCCCATTCCCATGCGGAACTTGGAGAAGAGGCTGGTAAGTTGTTCTCGGAGTTTGACGATTGCGAGAGCATTGACGCCGTTGTGTTGAGCAGGACTTGGAGAGGGGCTGTCGGAGATGCTAGCCTGGAAACGTAGGCGTTCTCGCTTTCTCTCCACAGAAGCAGCAGCAGGAGCACCAACACCGCATCAAGTTCCAGCCGTTTTCTATCCGCGGAGAGCTTGACGGACAACGTTGAGACGAGGTGGTCGAGAATGTTGTTGGAGAAGAAATAGCTGGTGATGGGATTGGAGTTTACGTTGTCCGTGGCTGTTAAGATGGTCAAGCACAGCCTGCAAGGATTCCACTCGGATCAAACTCTCGAGAAGGACAAAAGTTCACGTACCTTAGCCCGAGGGACTTCACAAGAACTGGAACATTGTCTCTCGCCAGAAGAGTTCCAACGCTGGAGATCAATCGTCGAAAAAACGTGTCTGCGTTATCTGGCGAGCCAGCAAGCAACAATGTAATGGTCACACCCTGCGAAGAAACGTAAATCTCGATGGAAATCTTCCTCACTCAATCGCTCACCTGTTGGCTGAATCGCTTTCGAAAAATCTCTCTGGTGAGAACCGCGAGGCTCTCCAGCGCGTGAGCGACTCGGATAAAATTCTCATCGCTTAGATACCTGTGAAGCAGAAGAAGAAGATTTCTATACTCCTCGATCGACGAACTCAACTCACAACTCACTCACGTCACGCAAGCTGCAAAGATTTCGTTGATAATCGGCTTTAATCCATGCCGGAGCTCCTCCTCCGTCCTGCTCGAGACGCATTGCGCCAGGAATTCCTGGTTCACCTAACAAGAATGCAAATTCTAGACAATGCGGGCGATCTAGGAGCTACCTTGAGCAAGAGGAGCTCGTCCCAGAATCTGGTTAGGGCAGTGCGGCCCTGGATTCCTCGATCCCGCGCGAATTGGATCGGGCTCCTCCCGGAGAAGATCTCCTCGCACAGCGACACATACTTCTCCTTGAACGATTTCTCTGGAGTAATCCGGGGTAGCATCCCTGGCAAAGCGTGGGAAAGAATCCCTCGATCGAGAACAAGGCTAGAGCTAAATGGGAGAAAGCGATTACCTTAATTTTGACCCCCAACACGAGCTAACAGAATATCCTGCTAACGGCATATCCTTAAGAAAACGGTGTGTATTAGCGGAATATCTCTACCTAGCATAATTTTTTGTTTCACAAGAATGCGCTCCGAGAGGAGGAAGGCGCCAGGGAAAATCGCGAGCTTTCCCGATCGATCCTAGCTATTCCGGGGTGAGTCGATCGAGATCGTCGTCTAGGCAGCGAGCGCCATCGGAATCGATGCTTGCCCTGGGATATTTCGGGCTCTTCCGTTTCCGATTTCTTTCTTTCATTCCTTGCCAGTGATCTTGGTTGCTTGCTACAAATGCCAGTTCTTTCCTTGCTAATCGAGGCGGCACTTCGTCGATCTAACGCTCTCCTCTCGATTCTTGCAGGAGACCGCGCCGATCAATATGTTCCACTGTCTCCAGGACAAGCCTTCATCCAAGCGGCATCTAACAACGCATGAGTCGGACATTAGCTTGGAGGAGGGATTGGACGCGTTTTTCACCGAGGCCGTCAAGAACGACGATGCAAGTAAGCTGGAAGAAGCGCTTAAACGAGAAAGCGGCAAGCTGGCTTCTGGGGAAACCAAACGAGCGTCATACGACGCTCTAGTCACCAAGCTCTTCCATCTGGTTTGCGCGCTCGACTGTTGGGAGTGTTGCGAGCTCCTGCTTACTGGCATCAGATCCTTTCCAGTGGCCCGCATTGATGCCGTCAACAGCAGCGAGGGACGATCCGGGCTTCACCATGCTTGCCGGAACCATTCCACCAGGTGCATCGAGGTTCTTCTTAAGCATGGTGCCAGCGTTTCCCTCAAGAACAAGGCGGCGCTGTTGCCTCTTGAAGAGGCTCTCCTGAGCTCCAAGCTTGAGTCTCAGGAGGATGTGGTCAGCACCCCGGCAGCGAACCTAGTGGACAGTGTGAGGAAGAAGGACTTGTCCGCAATCCAGCTGCTAGTCCCGGTTTGCAAAGACCAGCTAAGTTCGATCGCATGCAAGCTGCTCAAGGATCTCAAGGTGGTGCCGCTGGTTTCGCTTCTACTCACGGCCGGACAGGTCGCCAATGCTGTTCCTAGATCGGAGGTGGAAGTTCCTGGTACCGTTGTGGATCTTCTTCTATCCTACATTCTACCTCCGACACCTTTTTCGCCAGTGGACGTGGACGGAACCGGCTACAAGATCAAAATTGCCAGCAGCGGGAATAGCGGAAAACAGTCGCTCAAATCCGTGAAACCCGAGACGAAGACCTCGGCCGCGAGTGATAAGTCTTGGATTTTGTCCAAGCAAAACCAGCAGAAGTTCACAGCAGTTCCAAAGCAGGCATCACCAGCGCTACCGGTTAGGAGTTTTTACAGTTTACAGAAGCGACAGGATACTCCACAGGGGAAGGATAGCTTGTCAATCGCTACAAAGCTTTTGGAGTGCGTTCTGCTCTTTTATCCGAGACTCACGGCGCATCCTCAGAGCTCTTTCTCGGCGCCTTTGATCCGAGCTTGCCGGGGAAATGACGTCAAGGTCGTGAAATTGCTGCTAAGCTCCGGGGCTCCGGTAAACGAGCAAGATGGTGACGGAAATACGCCTCTTCACTGGATACTCCGACAAGCAACACCTTCAAATGACCGGCGCGTCAACCTCGACATCGTCCAGAATCTGCTAGATGCGGGTGCCAATACTATGCTCGGAAACCGTCTCGGTGCGACACCGATTCATACAGCTGCCGGCCACGGACACTGCGACGCGCTCTGCCTGATGCTGAAGAAGGACATATCAGGTGTCAACGTTATAGCTGCGACGAAGGAGACACCACTCCACTATGCTGCGGTTAACAACCATATACACTGCGCAGCGGTCCTTCTCAAGTATGGAGCAAACAGGAACGTTTGCAACCTCCGGAACATGAAGCCATGCAACCTTGCTCCGACTCGCGAGATGTACGCGCTGCTAAACGTTGACGAGAAGACGCTGAAAATGCATCCTTGGGAGAGCCTGGTTGCACTGTTCGGGCGCTCCGACGGCAGTCCGGGATGTCCAGCTCATCCTCGCACTAGTAAAAACGCAGCAGCAGGGAGTAGCAATCCGACGAACAAGAAGGGCTTCGTGGATGCCAGGAAAGTCTTTGTCGGGGGCCTGCCACTTTATGTGACTTCCGAGGATCTCCGAGACGAGATGGAGTACGAGTATGGAGAGGTTCACGAGGCGGTTGTTATATGCCACGTCGAGACCTCGGGGAAGGTCAAGTCGCGAGGCTTTGGATTCGTTCTCTTCAAGCAGCCAGAGACGGCAGTCAAGGCGGTGAAAAGCCGGTATACTTCTATGAGGGGCAAAAAGGTGGAGATCAAGGGATGTTTTCCTGCTCAGGATGAAGACGACTGCGGGTTGCCGTCGAAAGTAGCTTTCACTGAGAAAGTAGCTTCCGAAGCGCCAGCTCCGGACCAGGCAGGGACAGAGGAACCTGTTTCTTTGGCTCCAGTTACGCAAGCTCAAGGCCCAGCGTTGCGTGAAGAGGAAGCAGTGGACAGAGCTCCAGTACCAGCCGCTACTGCCACACACTGGGCCAGCACTCACACACCTGTGAATGCTACGGCATTTGCGTACAAAACAGCAGGCGTGGAGGACTCGACTTTTGATGACTCTCTGGACCTGGAACGCCTCCTGACTTCCATTTTCTCGACGGAGGACGCTCCCGTTCCGAAGAAGGTGCTGGAGCCCGAGGAGAAAGAGTTTGCGGAGATACTGTCGCTGCTAGAGGTTGGCAAAGGAAACAAAGGTAGCAGCAGCAGCAGCAGCAGCAGCACGTACTACGGAGGTAACCGTCTTGACGGCTACGTCCGGCCAGCCTATTCCGTTTCCGGGCTCGGGATTTAGCTAGCAGCACGGTAAGTTATCTTCACTTGAATGTCGTTTTCGTTTTGGTCTAATCATGTGTTGTTACAGAAGGCACGAGTCGACTCGAATCGCCATCGTTTCGTTTGCTTCTTTCATTTGTTTTTATTTTTGTTCTCTGGTTTTGACGTTTCTATGTACAACGCTGTTTTGGTTTGATAACTAGGTGGATCACAACAAACCCGTCATGGAGTTGTTTACGCTGGGGGCCCTGGACTGGCGTGCCGACGATCCACGCTTGGTCGGCACCAGCTGAGTGTCGCCTTCTTGCCAATCCCGGTGTCCCTGCTCTAAATCCTCCTCGGTTTTCAACACGGGATGGGTGTACGAGTTTCTAAACAGGGACCGGAAGTCGGTGTGGGGATCTTTGGCCTGGTCGATTAAATCCTTGGCTCTCGCTTCCTGCATCATCGAGTTAAGTATCTCGGAAGAAAGAACTCTCGGAAGAACAGTCGAAGAAACTATGAACTTACCTCGAGAGGGAACTTGACAAAGGCGGACTCGAAGCACCGCTTGGTATACGTATGAAATATGAAGGTTAAGACTGGCAAACCGGCGAGGAATGGAGTGGAACTGGCCGCTCGCTTCGTGGAAAGAAGACCCAGTAGCGTGAGCTGCATGATAATCATGGAAGCAACGACCCGGTTGTGGATGTGGGGCCAGAAGCCGCCAGCGCTCTCGTACTCCGGGTGGTACACGTTGATCACCTGGAACGCAACGAGGATTACAGGAGAAGTGGAGGAAAACAAGAGAATCCAACCTGGTTACGATAGACGAGATATGAGAAGCCAAAGAAGGTGACGATGAATGGGAGGATGATCGGTGCGATGACTGCGTAGACGAGGCCGAGCAAGAAGTAGAGGCCGACGTGAGGAAGCGCAGTGTTGAGGCTGAGGCCGCCGGGGGCCATGGCCTTTTCCCTGTCTTTCTCCGTCTTGACGAACATCATGTTGCGAAAGTGGAAAAAGAGGAGCGGCTTGAGCCTCAGGATCTCTCCGGCCACGCTCGCCCAGCCGTCCACCATGATGTAGGAGATGAAGAAGGTGGCCTTGAGTGGTATGGCATCGCCTAGAAGCTGTGGAATGCTGGAACACGCTTACGTTGAGAGCGTGCTAGAGATAAGAAGTTTTTGCTTACTCGGAGGGTGATTTGTGCAAGAAAAGCTTGAGCTGCTGCAATGCCGAGCCAGTGAAGACACTGGCAAAGAAAACGTTGAAGACCATGAAGTAGAAGTGCTTGGCTGCTGCCATCCTGTCCAGCTTCGACAGAGATAAATGTCCCTCTACCTTTGACAAGATCATCAAGACGCTGGGGAGAATGAGAAGGAAAATTTTCAACGCTAGACCCGGGAGAAATCCTTGTAGTATCGATTTTATAAACTTCCTGCAAAGAAAAACCGTCAACTTCGTTTCACAAGTTATGAAAACTTACCTCTCGATTACTGGTCTTAAGAACTTGACAGTCCGCTCAATGTCTTCTATGTTTGCCAGTGACTGCACGAACGTCACGGGAATCATAAAGAAGAGAATGAGGACGACGACAGCTGCCGTTATGGCGATCTTTCGAAAGTAGAGCTCCATGTATGGAATAGCGAGATTCCTCCAATACACATCCCGAGGCTCAGGCGCCCATTCCGCGAGCCACTTCGTAGGGTCTTTCGTTTGTTGAGTCTGAGCACAGACAGCAGCTCCCCAACGCGAGTCGAATGTAACGAATGCAACTGGAAGTTTTGCCTTTTCATCGCTGAAAATTCTTTCCTTCTCTGTTGCTGCCTGCTCAAGTCACGATCATTGGCCGAGTTCTACATTATATTATGCCTTACCTCGCCGACAAGTCTCTCTATTTCTGATGTGTAAAACTTCATGGCATCAAGCTTCTCTCCTCTGATCCCGAGAAATCCTTTCTGCAAGCGACGTACTAGATTAGCAGTTTGATTTACTTGATTGGGAGATGAAAACCTTGATTTGAGGCCTGGAAGAAGGATTTCTTGATTCCATGATACGACAATAATTTAGCTTGTTTTCAATGTCCTCAATCTTCTTAACAATCTTTGCAAGCTTATTGGCATTATATACAATCTGCATTTCAAACTTCGTAAGAAAAATAGAACAGCATGATCAGAAAACTTCACCTGCCTGATACATAAGGTAGTGTTCATAATGGTTGACACGAAAGAAGTGGTCGACATGAAGACCCACAGTTTCATCGGGATCGTCAGGAATTTGCCGAACAAGAACCTGAAATGAAATAGGATGATCACACAAAAACAAACAAAAACCAACAACAGACCGTGAACTGTTCCGGTCGACTCATCTGAGACTTTAAAAATCTCAGTCTCATGAAAGCCACAGTTTTGTACTCGTTGTGGAGCACGTAACACGTCCACAGTGTAAACACATATGTCAATAGCATATGTGCCCAGAGCCTAACGGAAGTAGAAGTTTATAAGATCAAACAATACAAGAAAATAAAAAAGAAAGAGCGAGGCTTACCTGTCGGATCTATCTTGCACATTTGCCACCGACAATTTATCAATGTCGGCAGAGAAAAGCTTCCCAGAGGACTTGCGCAAGTTCGTATCAGTGGCATTCACGGGCACCAAAATGAGGAAACACAAAACCAGCAATGGCACAAAAACCTTTAAGCTGAAAATAAAGGGGCATAAGCGAGCGATCAAAAACTAAGAGAAAGGAAGAGCATACCCCAGAAGATAAATTCGCAAGAGAATCGCCGAATCCAGCCCTGCGTGATCGATCAGCTCTAGCTCTGGCATCCGAATGGACTCCCACATCCAATCTAGGAAATGCAAATACGCCCTGGGGTCGAGGTTCACAAACCTGGCCTTAATCGGTCGATCCTCGCTCTTCCGGACGCCCTTGATGAACCATTTGGGATAATAAACCCTGTCGCTGAATGGCTGGAGCCGCAAGAACGCAAAGACGAGGAGGAAGACGATCGTGGATCCGCCATTAATCGCAGCCGAGAGCATGAGATCTTGGAGAGTCGCCATCGCTCACGATCGATCTGCCGCTTCTCGTGATCGAACGTCCCTTGCCGCGAACACACTCTTGGTAGTTGCTACAGGAGCTGAGCTACAAAGCACTCGATTCTTACGCGTGCTAACTACGAGATCGCAGCGCGCCACCAGCAAGAGAAAGATTCCGCTGGCCGAGCTGAGAATGCCTCTGGGATCGATTGATCATCGCGGAAAAGCTAAAGAACCCTAGAGATCAGGCACAAAAGCTCTTCCCCCCAAGAAGTTGAAACGGGAGCTATGGTATTTCGCCACGTGCCCCTAAACCCTAAATCTCAAGTTAAAAATAATTTCCGTTAACCAGCTAAGATATTCCACGCATATTCCCGTGTTCTAGGGCTCGCAGCAATGAGGGCCGCAGACAGCAGCTCGTGGCGCCACGCCTTGCTCTACATCTCGCCCTACACATTCGCCGCGATCGGCATTGCGATTTCCATCGGCGTTTCGGTGCTCGGCGCATCCTGGTGTGTAAATTCTCTTCAATCTCTAGCGGATAGATCAAGTTGTATCGAAATTCTCCAATCTTTCGAAATTCTTTAGGGGGATTTACGTGACCGGGAGCAGTCTCATCGGCGCCGCGATCAAAGCTCCAAGAATCACATCCAAGAATCTCATCAGGTATTTCTTTTTTTCTTTCTGCGCTCCTTGCTTGTTCTTTGGTTGCTCAAAGAGCTAATCACGCATAATGTTTTAGTGTGATTTTTTGCGAGGCTGTTGCAATCTATGGAGTTATAGTTGCCATCATCTTGCAGACTAAGCTGGAGTCTGTCACTCGAGACTACCAGCACACAGCGGAGTCGATGCGCGCTGGCTACTCCATCTTTGCCTCTGGAATAATCGTCGGCTTTGCAAATCTTGTTTGCGGGTAAGCTTTCACAGTGAGTTTTTCGTAGTTTCTAAGTTTGTCCTAGAAAGTTTTTGTTTGAGCTCCACTTTAGTTGCGTTTCACAGCTCAGTTCTTCAATTCCCTGCAAAATCTCTTTTTTCTTCTGGGTCTTGAGAGTTGGAGCTTTTAGTTATAAGCTTTCACTGTGAGCTCTTCGTAAGTTCTCAAAGTTTGTTGCCTTTCGTGTAGCTCTTCCTTGCAAATTCTTCTTTTTCTGGGGCTTGACAAGGAACGAGAGTTTGAGCTTATAGTTTTGGATCAGTTCTGACGATCTCGAGTTTTCCTTGCAGGATTTGTGTTGGAGTGATTGGCAGCAGCTGCGCTCTCTCGGACGCTCAAAACTCGACGCTGTTTGTAAAAATTTTGGTGATTGAGATCTTTGGAAGCGCGCTGGGTCTCTTCGGCGTCATCGTTGGGATCATCATGTCTGCTCAGGCTACATGGCCTAAAGCCACGTAAATATTTCGTTCGTTCTCCTTCTTTTGAGTGGATCAAAACGGTGTAGTAAGCATATTCTACGTGCCGTGTAAAATATGCTCTCCCATAAAATGGCTATGGCGGATTCTTTCACTTCCATGCAATGGAGAAGGCGCGGCTCTTCTTGCGCGAGGAGTACGCCGCCATCGATCCGGCGCTCCCCCACTGGCTCTCGGTGCTCAGATCCACGGGCGCCTCGGAATGCTTTCACAAGCACGGCACATTCTTCCAGCATCTGGTCGAGGTTTACAGGATTCTCAAGCTCTGGGGCGCGCCCGACGATGTGTGCCGCTGCGGCCTCTTCCACTCGTCCTACTCCAATTCCTACGTCAATCTCGCGATCTTCGAGCCGGGCGTGGATCGCAGCCGCGTCAAGGATCTCATCGGCGATCCGGCCGAGCAGCTGGTCGAGCTCTTCTGCATCGTGCCGCGGCAGGAGCTCATCCACGACATGCTCCTCTTCAGGTAATCCATTCGAAATTCGCGACATCGATCGAGATCGCGATCGATCCTATCGAAATTTTCTCTGCCCCCAATTCTTTCTTTGTTCTTGCCAGGTTTTCTGACGATCAGCTGCAAGAGGCCGCCGCTAGCGATCGATCGGGCAAGAAAAGCAAGCTGCTACTTCCCGATGGATTCATCACCGTGAAGAACATCCGGAATGGCGAGGACGTGAGGCTGCCAAGACGCATCGTGGCCGTGTTCGTGCTGCTCACCATGGCCGATTTTTGCGATCAGCTCTACAATTGGCAAGACAATCTCTTCGACAATCGCGATGGCGAGCTCCGATTCAGCGGGAATCACTACTGGGCGCTCTGGCCTGGCGACGTCCAGCCCGGCCTGTGGATGAGCTCGATCTCGCGCATGGGCCTCCTCCTCAAGGGGCTCCTCAACGAGGAAGAACAGGATAACGGAATATGCGACGCTCCCGCCGCCATAGCTTTGAAGCTCCCGCCCCTCTTCGACGGCTGCTCCAAGCTTCTTCGCCCGGTGGACCAGATCGCGGCCAGGGATTTGTATCTCGAGGCAGTGGGCGCGGATCTCAAGCGCCAGGGGTTCGATTGGATCGCGGGGAAGCTCCGCGGCGCTTGCGAGAGGAACCCGTGGATTGGCGAGCCCCATCTTGTTCTAGCGCAGCTGTGCTGCCTGGAGGGCGCGTTTGAGGAGGCGGCGGTGGAGGCGGCGCTGGGATTGGAGCGGCTGCTGCAGTGGGGCACGGCGTGGGACAAGCGCGTCGCGTGGGAGGCCTGGATCGCGTGGGGAAGAGTTCTAGAGATGAATGCCAAGGAGAAGAAATGGCCCAGCACTGCCTGGGGAATGATCAATCTGGGACTCGTGAAATGAAAGAAAAATGCTGCTTGTCCGACAGAGATAAGCTCTCCCCTGTTCTCTAGGGCTTCGTTGGGCCTGTTTTAGGGTTTTCGAGCGGACCAGCGATTGAGGCGGCGCCGCCGCTCGTACTTGGCGGCGTAGTGGCGGCGCGGCGGGGGGCCGATATGGAGAGTTTGTCGAATCTCCGCGCTGGAGGAGAGACGAGCGAGTGCCCAAAGGATTAACAGGGCAAAGGACGTCCTACACACAACCTAAGGGAAATCTTTTTGTGTCCCAGGAGGGAGTGATTAGGGCAATGTGGAGGCGCTGAGCGAGGATAGATGTCGGGAAGGCGCTCGCATAGCATGGAATACGACGACCCCTTGGACAGTAGCGGTAAGCGCTCGCTCTCCCTCTCCCGTCGATCGATCGATTCCTCGGCAGCGATCTATAGCTAAGCGTTTGCGCCCAGGGACTGACGACGATCTGCCGCCCACGCATTCCGCCGGCGGCCGTGCCTCGCGAGGCGTCCGCGTGAGTGGGAATGGGAGAGCTGCCACGGGAGTGATCTACGCGAGCTCGCAGCCTTCGGGGAGTGTGGATCATATGATCCATCGGCTGGAGCAGGAGGCCTACACTGCAGTTTTACGTGCGTTTGGAGCTCAGTCGGAGGTCATCACTTGGGTGAGTTGTTGGAGGTTTTCTTTTTTCCATTTGTGTTCGTTCTTTCATCCTTGTGACTTTGGGATGTTGTCCTAGGCAAAGGAGCGGCTGATGACGGATTTGCGCAAAGAATTGCGCGTCACTGACGAGCAACACCGGGAGTTTTTGGGAAAAGTTGCGAGCGATGAAAGCATCAAACAAATCCAGTAAGAAAGTTTTTTTTGCTTGACATGTACTCTTGCAAATTAATTCTTTCTTTCATTTCAGACAACTATCCGCGGTGCCACCAGCAATTGCGCCCTCCGCTGAGGTTTCGCCGCCTCCTGTAACAACTCAGTCTCGCAAGAAGCAAAAAACTGCGCTTCTTCCTCAGGCAGCGTTGCCTCCGTCGTCGTCGACTCCAACACCTCCGCTGCCTCCACATATCAAAACCGGTCCTGTTCAATCGACCTCCGGCTCTAAGCGTCCTGGGCCAAGCAATGGTCCCCGCGGAAAGAAGCAAAAGGCAAACTTTCTCAGTTCTCTTGCCTGTCGACTTACCTTCGTTCTTTTTTCTGTAGCTGCAAGGGCGAGCTTCTAGCTCTTCAAAAGGACATGGCGGTAAGGCCGGGAGGCCACCCTCGAATAAAGCTTCAGAGAATTCAGCCGAAGTCTCGATAGATCCATACATTGGGAAGAAAGTTAAAACGCGATGGCCGGAAGATAACGCATTCTACGAGGCTCTTATCACCGACTACAATGCGGAGACGGTAACCAGAGTACCATTCTTATCATTTTGTTTCCAACTCAGTCTTTTAGGGACGTCATGCACTTGTCTACGACATGGACACCGCAAATGAGACGTGGGAATGGATAGATCTCAAAGAAGTAAGCGATCGTTTGCTCTTATCATGCGAGTTTGAGATTGTGGTATTTTCTCTCAGGTGCCTCCGAGCGACTTGAAATGGGTCGAGGGTCCAAATGCAGTTATAGGACGCAAAGCCCCGCCACCTGGAGCTGCTAGAGGTGGCATGGGCCGCGGCATGAAGAGAGGGCCAAAGGGTAGCGTAGCATCACCGGGTGGGAAAGCACGGGGCGGTACTCCAAAAATGCGGGGATGGAAAGGGCCATCCTCGGCTGAGAACGGCTCGCGGTCATCACTCGGACTTATACCAATAGAAGACCTGGCGAAGGAGGTTGTGCTACTTTTTTTACATTCGAATGACAGAGAAATTACTATTAATTTCCTTTTCACTGCCTTTAATAGGTGGACAAGCTGGAGGAGGATGACGATTTGGCCAAGCTCGAAGATGCAAAGAAAGCCGCCAAGGTAGTGCTTTTCCCATCCCGGAGTTATTGCTTTTCTTTTTTCTAACAGCGCGGGCTTTCAGGCTCACGAGGAGAATATCAGGAGAGCACTAGCACAAGTCGGCGAGTCGTCTGACGAAGCCGAGAGTGGTATGTTTTATGCTCTCGAATAAATGCTCGGGGACGAAGAAACAAGACTGTGGTCTGTTAATTGTTCTCATATGTTACAGACGATGCCGGGCAGCCACCTTCGTCGCAAACTCAATCCGTTGATCACGAAAGGGAGCACAGAAGCAGCGCTCAAAACAGTCGGGAACACACAAACGCGGACAGTGACGAGGAAGAAACTGCTGGAAACGAGAGGGCCGAGGCCGATGGCTCCGACGGCGAGCACACTGCCGGCGAGGGCGGTGCGGCGTCCGACGCTTACGACGATCAGCAAGGGGAGGACGGTGACGAGAAAGACGAAGATGGCTAGAAGCAAACAACACAGCAAAGAGAAAAAAAACCAACCGAGGTTTGTCACTTTTTCTTCTTTCGATTGGTCTTTAAGGCATTTGTCATGGCTGACTTTGGGCTCTGGAAAAATAGGGAAACGATAGCCGGATTGAGGTTCTTTTTGTACACTGGCACAGCACAACTATTCATTAACAGGTAGTTTTACAGTATTAACAAGCGGGCTGGGGAAGAACAGGGAAGAACAGGAGGCTGTATTTGTAACATAAGATGATTTGGAAGATGCAGGCTTTGATCAAGGGAAGAAGTCTCACTCACAACAGTGGTGATGATCGTGTGGAACTCTCCACAAATTTGGGAGCTCTTCACATGGATCATCGTCGATCGATCTCTAAAGCTTATTACACAAGATAAAAGGAGGAGAGATTTTGCTTCTATCTATCCTTATCTTCAATCGAAAAGTTTTAATGTGATGGACTCATTGAATGGTTTTTTTTTTTTTCCCTTGTGAGTCACTTGGCCCTCACACCCTCATTTTTTCATTTTTTCTCTTTGTTTTTTGGTTCGGCAGAAAAGCGGAATAATGCATCATAAATTCCAGTTTAATGACACCCGTGATTTCGCGTACACGCAGCGATGCAATCGGCGCCGTCGGGTGCTCCACGCTGGAGGCGCAGTGACGTGTCGCTGACGTGTCACGACACGTATGCGGGGCTGTAGAATCGGCGGACGTGAGGCCGAGTTTCGAATCGGGCTGTTGGCACAGTTTTCCCTCTTCTCTCTTCCTCCATATAGGTCGAGGCCGCGAGCTATGGTCGCCGCCGCGCCCCATTCTCGATCGCCATCCCCATCGCCATCGCCATCGCCATCGCGCTCGCTGGTGGAGCTTCTTAATCCACTCTCCTGCTTACATGCGCTCTCGGCCTCGTCTCCTCTCGGTTGTGCGCGCTCAATCGTTTGCCTGGATTGATCGCCAGCTCGCGCTCTAGCTGCATTTGCTCTTTTCGATGCGCCTGGCGATATTTCGGTAGTCTCAGTGGGACAAAACCCCCTTTCGCAAGGTGAGCTCCTCTTTCTCGGCTTGATCTTCGTACAGTGAGATCACGGGAGGCATGCATTCCCGTGATCTTGTGTCCTCTCTTCTTCCTTGTACTAGGGTTGACTTTGCTGTGTGATCTTCTCGCTTAGGTGATGCTCCTGTGAGAGACAAGAATGGGCAAATCTAGCCGGTGGTTTTTGAGCTTCATTGGAGTCAAGTCGAGCAAGTCCTCGTCTTCGTCCTCCAAGGAGAAGATCTCTTCGTTTGAAGAACGCAAGAGCGAGGAGTCCAGTGTAAGTGATTCCAATCCCATCGATTCCACCGAAGTTTGAATTTCTTTCTTTCTTTCTTTCTCCTTTATGCTGTTGAAGTTATGGCTGCCAGATTTTGTGGTCTTCACATCTCACGATCAGAAACGTCTTGCTCGAGAGTTTTAATACTCGCTTCTTCGCCGTGTTTAAAAGTTTGGAGTTTTATCGCCTTGTGCTTTGTTTCCTTGTTGCTGCTGTCGTTTTCCCGGATTTTTGTGAGGGTATTGATTCCTTGTGGTTGATTCGCTTTGCAGAAGAAGAAGCCGCGAGAGAGGCGCAGGTGGAGCTTTGGAAGATCGTCTGCCAAAGACTCGGCTGTAGCAGATGCCGTTCGCAAGAGCGACGATCAGCGTCGCCATAGTCACCACCATCCTCTGCATGACTTTGATATTAGCGACAGCCTCTCTTTCGAAAAGGACCAGAGCAAGCATGCAATTGCGGTTGCGGCTGCCTCCGCTGCGGCTGCCGAGGCTGCCGTGGCTGCTGCTCAAGCAGCGGCCGCAGTGGTTCGTCTCACCAGCACTGGAGGCTCGTTCCGTGGATGCGTGAGTTTGGAAGAGTGGGCCGCAGTGATCATCCAGACTGGCTTCCGAGGATATCTCGTAAGTAGTTGTACCACTTCATCGGTCGATTTGTAAAGCTTGCCGTTTTTCTCTACAGGCTAGAAGAGCGCTGCGAGCTCTCAAGGCTGTGGTCAGGTTGCAAGCTTTGTTCCGCGGTCATCTTGTTCGTAAACAAGCTGCCCTTACACTCCACTGCATGCAGGCGCTTGTTAAAGTTCAAGCTCGTGCTCGTGCACGTCGTGCATCCGACGAAGGCCTGCCGCCCCAACAGCAGCTTCGTCACCGGCGACAGCAGCATCAGCAAGATGTCCGTCCTAGAAAATCCGTGGTAAATGTGCTCCGGGTTTTCATTGTGTCCCAAAGTTGACTTGATTCTTTTAGGACGGATGGGATACCTCGGCTAGAAGCGTGGATGACTTGCAGTGCAAGTTCGATCAAAAGCAGATCGGACTTCTCAAGCGCGAAAGAGCGTTGGCTTATGCTTATGGCCACCAGGTAACTTAAGTAAGCTTTTCCATTTGTCTCTCGTGACACTGCAAATTCTTCTGTAGAGTGGAGCCAACAATCTTGGCTGTGAGTCGGAAACTAGCCCCTGGGAATGGAGCTGGTTGGAACGATGGATGGCTGCTCATCCATGGGAAACTCAGGGAGGAGGTCCTCCCGCGGAGGAGAGCACCAGAAGTGCTCCTGATGCTGCGCAGCAAGACAGAAGCTCCGAGAGCAGTGCTAAAGTGGTGGAGATAGACTCGGCCAGATTTTCAAAGCGCAGGCCGAGAAGAAAGTCTGGGTTGTCATCCGAATCGATAACATTTGATACCAACACTTGGTCGACATCGCCACCACCGAACCGCCCCGCCGAAAAACAGCAGTTCTATGCCGCGAGCTTCGACAGGTTTAGCAACGACGTGCAAGAGAAGATCTACTCGGCTTTTGTTGGCGACTACGATGATGAGGACAGCTTCCTCTCAACTGCCAAGAGCAGCCCCGCATTCTCTACGACTGGCTCCAAGACCACCAAAAGCAACGCTTTTCTCTCCAACAGGAGCGAGCAACACCAGGCCGACGAGCTCTACAGCTACAACTACGATGGCTTTCCCAGCTACATGGCTTCTACGAAATCGACCAAGGCAAAGTCCCGCTCTCAGAGCGCTCCAAAGCAAAGACCGTCGAGTTCGTCCGAGAGGCAGCAGCACCATTCGAGGAAGCGGAACTCCCTGTCGGGACTGGATATGCGGCCGGGCAATGGAAACTTTGGAGGCTCCTCTCGACACCACCAGCAAAGGCAACAGCAAATCTCTCCGGCGAGAAGGAACAGCAACAGCAATCGTGGAGCTTTCACTGGGCCTCTCTCTTTGGATCGATCGTGGATGAGCTTGCGAGACGCGGGAGGAGATTTTCGAAGGCCTTTCAGGCCGTGAAGAAGATTGCATGAGAAAAAGTTAAGCTTTAAACTCTACAAAAGCGTTGTAGACTTTCCAGTCTGAGATGTGTAAAAGGAGAATCTCAGTACGTGAATCCTGTAGAATCGAGCACAAAAACCAAGAACGCAGTGCTTACAAAGGCGTTTAACGTCTTCCTTCATGAAGTGTTCGTTTTGATAACTCCTCAAGGAGCAATAAGAATAGCATACCAACACCGAAAGCTGCTGCTGTGATCACTGGACCAGTCTCATTACGAAGTGAGCAAGTTTTCAAGACACAGCAGGCTTACTGGCAGGATCTGCAGACACCAAGTGGTGCATTGCAGAAACCACTCTCAGATTTTTTGATAGACTTGGTAGTGCTAAATTTTTCACTAAGATTGATCTTTGTGGTGCTTCAGAATTTAAAATTCTTTAGGGACGATGATGATCAAAGCCTAGAACAATGGTGGGCAATTGAAGTGCAAGTGTTTTTGTTAAAAGTTTCTTTGTGTTCTCAACTTTGTAATATCTTAAAATATTTAGAAGTATTAGTACATAATGTATGCAAAGATATCTGATGGCAATTCACTAAAATAGAAGAACTTGTTAATAAATAAGTTTAGATTTAAAACTTATATGTAAATGAAAGTTAAAGTCAAGCTTTTTAATTGCTTCTCTTTTAAATAAAGAGACATTCAATTTTAAAAAACTAATTAAAATATAGTTGATTTATTTACTTGAAGTTGGTTTATTATTTTTAGTTGTGACATTCTTCTTGTCCCACATCAATTAATAAATTTATTTATACAATATTAATAATATTAATAATATCAAGTTCATCCTAAAAATCAAACTCCAAATAAACAAAATTTAAAAAATTATAAACATTATATCCCTTGTTTTTTAATCCTTAAAGATAATTTACCAATCAATACCATTGATCATAATAATGTTAATAATAATAATTAATAATTAATAAATGAAGATAGTTTGGTTCTTGGAGAATGTTTAAAGATTAAATTTATAATAAGACAATGTTTACAAACTTGAATGGATTCCAGATTGTGATGATGAGCTTGATTATTATAGAGATAACTTTGAAGATGATTTAGAAATTTTGTAATCAATTCTAAATCTTTTAATGGTTATTATGATGTCCATTGATACTCAATGGATGTCCATAATAACTATGAAAACCAAAATCTATAATAACCATGTCAAGATTCAATCTTTTCATGGTTATTATTAAATAAATGACCAATTGATGTCATTGACCATAATAATGTTAATAATAATAATAAATAGTTGATAAATGAAGATAAGGATGATACAATCTGGTTCTTAGATGAATCAATATTTATGAGCTTGAATGGATTTTAGATTGTGATAAGGAACTTGATTGTTATAAAAATAGTTTTGAAGATGAGTTAGAAATTTTGTAAGGTAGGTGTTAATTCTTTAATTTTCTATTTACTAATTTCTCCGTACCTTATGCTCTTTCTTAACTTTTTCTTATTTTTTGGTCTAAGCCAACTTTTCAGTGTTTCTTTTGTTATGTGTATTATTTCCTTCTCCTAACACATTAATCATTTGTGACTCTTATGATTATTATTCTTAATTTAGTGTTGAGTTGAATGTTCAAAATCCGCATTATCCTAGAATAGCTTGGCATATTCTGTGTTGAGCTACTCTCCCAGGGAGGGCTTGTTTGAGTGCACGCGACCGATGGCAGCCATTTACTCTTGCAGCCTCCTTCCTCTGTCTGTGGCAACTGTCACAATGTGCTTCAAGCGATAGGGTGATAACACACTGCATATGCCAACTCACGACATTCTACCTATAACAAGCAGCTTTTTGTTTGGTTATCTCGTAAAAGCATAGTAGAAGCTCTCTGCATGGAAAGTCCTTTGCATAAGAAAGAACACAAGACTGTACTATACCTTATCAGTTTGCAAGTTCGACCAAAAGCAGATCGGACTTTTCAGGCGCGAAAGACCGTTGGCTTCTGCTGAACTAGGGAACATAATGTTTTCCATTTGCCTGCAACACTGTAAATTCGCGTGTAGAGTCGGTTGGAACGATGGATGGCTGCTCATCCATTGGATAAGGTCCTCCCAAGGAGGAGAGCTACCATAAGTGCTCCTGACGCTGCTCAGCAAGACAAAAGCTCCGAGAGCAGTCTAAAGTGGTGGAGATAGACAGATTTTCAAAGCGGAGGCCGAGAAAAAAGCCCCAACCCGACATCGCCACCCCGCCGAGTTCTATGCGACACGTTCAGCAACGACGTGCACGAGAAGATCTACTCGGCTTTGGTGGCGACTACGACGACGAGGACAGCACAGCTTCCTCTCGACTGCCCGGATTCGCTTCAAGGAGCGAGGAGCACCAGGCCGACGAGCTCTAAACAAACAATGGTTTTCCCAGCTAAAGTCTCGCTCTCACAAATGGCCATTGAGTTCTATCAGGAAGCGGCGTACTGGATATGCGGCCAAACTTTGGCGAAAGTTTGGCAGCGATAAATCTCTCCGGCTTGAAGGAACAACAACAGCAATCGTGGACCTTTCACGGACCGACCGTGGATGAGCTTCGTGGGAGGAGATTCACGAAGGCCTTTCAGGCCGTGAAGGAGATTGAAAGGTTCTTCGAAGATGTTTTCGGAAGAAATCAAGTTACTCGCAGGGACGAGACCAAGCATTTGAGCGCAGACTCGGTCTCTTGATCGATCGTATCATTGGCTCCCTCTGCGACGGCCACATTGATGATGAAGAGTTTTCTAGAGGCGATCGTGACTCCAGAGTAGACCCGTTTCATCCCGCGCGTACTGTCGAGCTTGTACTCAATCTCGTACACGGTAGCGGACGCGCCGCCTGGAATTAGCATCCTTCTGCTGTCGATGCTAACAAGCTCCACGGCATTCGTGCTTGGCTACCAAAGATAAATCCAAAATGCCTATTCCGGGTAAATGCAGAAGGAACCAAACCTTTTTACGCTCGGCTTCCATGAGTTTGATTGCAACCTCTTGAGGGCTGCCAAATTCCTCGAGCGACGAGATCCTAACGGGACTCACCACGACTCCCACGCTGTTGGATTTCTTGGTCGGATCCTCAAACAAGACGGTGGCCCCATACTTGTCAACCTGCGACGTCATGGAATCAGATTGGGTGTGGAGATAGTTATCTTACCTTGGTCCATTCCTCCGGCCGCGAGAATGCAAAGCCGTTGCGCTCGTCCTCGTATGGCACCAGGTGCAGAGATGCAGGAGATTTCACATCTGCCGCAAGAACTTTTACTCGAGTTTTTTTGTGTGAGAACATACCGCCCAATGCTAGTGCTTGGTGGAGAAGAGGGAAGAAGAGCAGCGACGTTGGCGAGGATGAGCAAGCGAGCAAGACCGAGCGGCGTTTACACCTTTTCACTTGTGTTTCATTCCTGCTGCAAGCTGTGACCAGCTTGGATGTCAATCCCATGAAACGCAACACACTCATTTCTCTCTCTCTCTTATAAAAATCACATTTATGCCCCAAAAATATACATTCATTGATCACATTATTCCATCACCAGCTAATGTATAGTTATAATAATAATAATAATATTTTACAACACTTTAGAAAAGTGATATTTTAAATATCATCTAAAATATTATTAATTTGTTATTTTTATAACTAGCAAATATTATAAACTAAATATTTAATAAATAAATATATATTAATTTTCTAATAAGAATTTCCTACATATATAATATCCTAAAATGATAATATGATTTTTCTAAACTATACATTTTTTATTTTAAGTAAATAATAATTGGGAAATTAGATAATTTTAACTATAAAAGAATATCCTCTAATAGAGTTCCTTAAAAGAAATATTTCAAATATTGTTTAATCAATTAAACTAGTAAGGTTTCAACTACTTGTACTTCTTAAGGTGTGCTACATTACTATATTAGCTTGTATAGAAAGTGTTAGAGCACTTTTGACATGAAAAAAACTTTAAACAAACAAGAAAACAGTAGTGTTATCTTATGGAGTATGTTGGTCTTGGATACTAATTTCTTATATACATTATAATGATGAAGTTTAAGATAACCATGTCTATTATATAATAGACTAGAGCTTTTATATAGTGCTCATGGATGCAAGTGCTTTAGTAGAAGCTCTTGACTAAGCTTTAGTAGCTAAAAACATTGTGTGATTCTTATTGAAATTATTCTAATTCTTTACTCAAGAGTTGCATATGTGGAGAGTCCTCTCTAAGGACTATATTGTAATTATCAAGTAAGATACTGAAAAGTAATGCCAAAAGTCCAAGTACAACCCATCAAATTAGTTGGAGTGAGAGAAAGCTAAAACCCTAGAGTTGCACACCTAGAGCATGTGTTTCTGAGCTCAAAGTGAAGATGAACTAGATTCATGTGATATACTCATGCATGGTAAATATAGTTTATATTTGTGATTAATGTTAAACTTTGATTACTAACTAAGAATATATCTGGATATTCCAGATATATTCCTTACACTCCTATAGGTTTTCTAAAATATAAAATATTGAAATATTAAAAAATAATTAAGAATGAGAAAATCCAACACCCCATCTTATGATTTAGGGAGAAATCAATCTTGCACTAAGTTTCTCTTTTAATATAGCTAGTAACAGACTTCTTGAAACAATTATCTTGTCATGGAGTAAGATATTATGATTATATGTAAAATTACAAAGTGGCTACTGCTTGTAGGTGGAACTTTTAACTCACTTGTTGTCCTTCCATTAAAACTTGTTACAGACTTGTGTTACAAGAGAAAAAAAGATGATGTAAGAAAGAGAGATAGTGTGGTGTGGCCAAAAAATTTCATAAGTATGAAAGCTTATGAACAAAAGAAGTTAATGGAGGCATCTCATGGAGGTAGGCTTGTGGCAAAGGTCTCAGCCCCATGAATAAGAATATGTGTATGGGGAGGAAGTCATCTAGATCATCAAGAAGAAGCTAGATCTTCCAAGTTTGGCATAAAGATTGATCTCTTTTGTTCATAGGCTTTTCATACTTAATGAAATTTTTTCCTCTCTGCCACATCAGTTTTTCCCTTGCTACATAAGCATCTGTGTTGCAAACTAGAACAAGTTTTAACTAGAGGCCACCACATGAGGCAATAGAGAATCTTTGTATTTCTTCAAGGAACCTTGTAGTTATTTCTGACTTTTCAAATACAAACTCTAGCAAACAAAGGCCATCAATTGATGATTTCACTTCCTAAATGTTAATGATGCCATATGCCAACTTAAACAAGTTGAGATTGTCATGGAAATCAAATTCCACTTACAAAACAAATTTTGAACTAAAAAGAGAAGTATTAAAAGCATGATAAACCTTTTTAACATTGAATAAAATCTTAGTCCCACACACATAGTATATCAAAAAGAAAAGTCCAAAACCTTTTTATTGGCAAACGACTAATTTGTTTCAATAGCTTTCTTATCTTAGGTGGTTACATAAAATATTGATGTTATTGAGCCTCTTTGGATTACTTAGTCTAATAGATTTAAGTTTTTATCTTTTTCTTGGATCCACATTCCTAGGATTTTGGAAGAAAAAGAAAAAACTCAATTGATCCTAAACAAGAAGAGAAGTCCATACTAAAACTTATTACTTTGATCATTAGGATTTAGATCTCATTTCTTCTTAGAACTGATAAAAAATAAATAAAATTTTGATTAATAAATTTATAGGATCTAAGAAGAAAAAAAGAGCTGAGAGAGAGGAGAAGGAAAGGGAGGGTCCAAATATATAATAGGGATAGTGGTTTAAAGTATGATTGACTACTTAAGATATTAATTTGGCTCTCACTAGGTTATGTTGCTCTTTATTTTATGTTTAGTTTGGGTCTAAGCCCAAGTTTCATTCTACTTTAGTTGATGGGGTACTGACTTATAAAGGAATTTAAGTGTGTATTAAACTCTTGTTTTGTAGTGTAACAAGCTTGGAGTTTGGTTTCAAATTTAGATGTGTTACATTTGGTATCAAAGGTATTGTCTCAGTAATTCTTATATAGCTTTTATTGAAATTTTTGACTTTAGTTGCATATACAAATACTTTTTTAGTACATCCAAAGCAATATATGTAGAATTAGTTAGATTGCACCATTTAGTAAGATATTCATTTATTGTTAGAGATATGTATACATCTAGTGAGATGGCCAAATGGAACTGACTTGATAATGCTTAAACCTCTAGAGGAGTGAATCAAGAGGAGGAAACTCTTACTAAAAATATTATAAAAAAGACTGAGGCTAAGTTAAAAGAGGAAGAGTTTTGGCCTGAAGTTACACCATTATAGTGTAGGGCTTAAAACATTGAAATTGAGAATTTGCAAAAAGAGGAGAACAAGAAGAGGAAAAAAGAAGTTGAGGCAACTAAAATAGGTAAATTTAAACAACTAAACTCCTTTTTAAGTTTTGAGAATAATGAAGTTTTAGACTCCTTTTAAAGTTTTGAGGATAATGAAGTTTTGGACTTCATTTTAAGTTTTGAGGATAATAAAGTTTTGTAACTACCCCTAGTTGTATGTGTTTCAAAATTTAAGCCCCTGAAGGAGGTATGGAAGACTAAGTTTACAATATAGAAAAGCATTTCATAACGGCAAATAGATGATCAATGAAGGCTATATATATATAGTTCTTTCTCACATATTATGCCAAAACTTGGTGGTGTCAAGTGTGTAGTGAAAAAGGATAGACTAGAAGTTGGACTAAAATGTGGTTTTATATCATAAGGAATATTTGTCGGATATCTTGGTCTTAAAATTTGAGCAAAGTTAAAATAGTTAAAGTAGTATAGGGATCTTATGCACTGTGTTAACATATTTGCTCATGAGCACATTATGATTGCAAATATGAATAACAAAGATGTTTGGAGTTATTTTTTGGAAGGTTTAAGTTCATTTTCTCACAATGAGATTTTTAAGTTTAAGACAAAGATATACCTAGAGTGTAAGGAGGTAGCACAAAAAGTTGCTTTCAATCACTCACTCATGGAATAGTATAAGTTTTACTTTAGAGGCTTATAAGTAATGATTATCAGTTTAAATAGTATTATATTTAGTGACCTAATACCAAATGTAAGTTTCTAAATTTGGACTTCCCAGGAGTCAACTAGCATAGTACTACTCAAACTCTCCATCTAAATTTATATAATCTTTTAATACATTTTGTATTAAAGACATCTCAAGTCCGACTCTAAGTAAACTTATTTTACCTTGCTTCTCCTTGGAGATGGTACTAATAAATTAAACTTTTTACCTTTTCTTGCTCCAATGAAAGGAATTACATTATATGTTGAGATTTTCCAAATTCAAAATTTTATAAGATATAAGTATGCTGGCTTAGTTAATGGGGTACCACCTCCTTCCATTAGGCCACTAGTATGCCTATAAGGAGTTAGTGCTAGTATTAAACCTTCATTTTGTAGCACAATGGTATTGAAGTTTAATTCTAACAGTATTAGAGTTCAGCTCTAAATTTAGGTATTAAAAGAAAAGTTAAATACTTTTTACATATATCATAATTGTTATCATTATATTTTCTACATTTCAAGGATCATAGAAGAAAATAAAAAAGAATTGGATTGATTGATCTTCTAGACAAAAAGAAAAGTCAAAATTAAAACTTTTTATTTAGATTATATTATTTGAGGTTGTTGTCTTCTTGTTTCTTCTTGAAACCTAGAAAAAACAAGAAAATAAAAAACTCAACTAATCAGTTTAAAGAGAGTTAAAATCCTCAAAAAATGAGTATTTATTGATTTCTTTTTTCCAAATTCAGAAAAGAAAGGGGATACACATGATCTAAGTAAGAAGTTTTTCATTTAAAAGATCAGTCAATCAAGTGTTTTTGTTTTCATTCCAGAATTTTTTGGAATTTAAAGACAAGAAACAAAGAGATTATAGTGTACATATGAAAGAACTCTAGTCAAATGCAAGGATTGGCACCAAGCGTAAGAAAAGCTATACCATGTGTTGTGAATATTATACATTCACATTAGTGGAGGTGAGGGGCACTTTTGATTGTTTCTGAAGAGTGTTTGGATTTGGGGTTTTGGTTTAGATTTAGTTTTTGTATTGTCTAGATCTAGCTATTTCAATTTCCTTACTTTTGTTCTTTCCTTTCGGGATTTTGGTTTAAATTTAACTTTTACATTGCTTAAATCTCCCCTTCAACCTTTTTCATTTTTTTTCTTTTGCTCTTTCCTTTTCATTCATCTTCATGGTAGAGTAGTAGTTTCCTCCTCCTTCTTTGACTCTGGAGCATTAGTTGGTGCAATTGCTCGATGCTATGCAATTGTAGTTGAACAACCAAACTCAGTTGATTGGGGATGATGTGTACCATTAGTTCAATCACTTCATGGTAATAACCATATATCATTCTTAGGATGATACTCGACGTTTGCGTGAGTTTCCCATGTGTCTTCAAGGGATGGTGTTGCAATGGTACAATGGTTTGA